ATAACAGTTTTAAATCTGGTCCTGAGGGTATGAAACCCCGAAATTTTGTGTCATGTGATTATTTTGGAGGTGACGCACATGCTAGGTGACGGGCGTGTGGGCGTGCACCGAGGGAATTGTGACTTGGTCCGTCCCGTGAAACTGTAAAGTTGAATAATTTGTTGTTAGCTATATGCTCTCTATGTGTTGAAGAAATTTGACTATAAATCATGTTAGAAATCATGCTTAGGCTATGTGATAGTACTGTTGGGACCCACAGAGGGCACGTACTTATTGAATTGATTGTTAATTTCTATCTTGTGCTCAGTCATGATTTTACTTGCGTATCATAGCTCAGTCTTTCTTGATATTTGTTGCATTATGTTATCTTTGTTTGGACTGATCTTTGTGATTTCTGAGAGCCCGGGAGACTAGAAAGGTTGAGGACTGAGTAAGGCCGAGGGCCTGTCGGTGAGGTAAGGATATTATGGCACGTGAGTTGTCCGTGCAGGATATTATAGCACGTGAGTTATCCGTGCAGATTATGGCGCTTGGGCTGTAGGAGCCCCTCCGGAGTCTGTACACCCCCAGTGAACGCGGGTACCAATTGAGTGTGAGTGCTGAGGGCTGAGAGCCGAGTGATGAGTTGAGTGACTGTTGCCTGAGAGGCTATACTTGCTTTGCATTTGTTATTGCACTTGATTGCTATCTGTCATTGTTGTGAAATCTCTGAAAGATTTTATATCCGGATTACATGAAATTGAACTGTATAAAAATTGATTTGACTTAAACTGCCGGATTTGAAAGCATGTCTATTCTTTGCTGGAATTACTGAAAGTGAACTGTAACTGTGTAGCTCGTCATTATCTTAAGTTCCTTAGTTATTGTTACTTGCTGAGTTGGTTGCACTCATACTACACTCTACACTTCGTGTGCAGATCCAGGTGTTCCCGGACATAGCGGGTGTTGATCATTTCGCGCAGTTGATTTTCAGGAGATTCAGAGGTAGCTGCCGTGTTTCGCAGACCTTGTCTCTCTTTCCCTATCTGCTTGTTTACTGTATTTTGGTCTTAGACTATTATAGAACTTATGTTCCAGATTTGTATCCATATTAGATGCTCATGTACTCAGTGTCACCAATTTTTGGGGAGTGTTCGTGTCAGTATTTATGGGATTTTGTATTGTACTAAATTATTGTATTTTCAAACTTAATAGAAATTGTAGTTTATCGAGATTATTGGCTTGCCTAGTATCGAGATAGGCGCTATCACGACAGGTTGGGATTTTGGGTCGTGACAAGAAAACAATCATTTTTCAGTGGATTGTCTGTCAAAAACATAAAATAATCATAGAGGATTTGCCAATTTGGTAAGTTTTCGACAACTTGTCGGACAAAACAAAGAACCACGAAAACATTTACTCCCTCTATTCTATCTTACGTGACACTTTTCCTTTTTAGTCTGTTCCAAAAAGAATGACCTCTTTCTATATTTGAAATCTAATTTTACCCTTAAAGACATGATCTTACGGCTACATAAATGTCATAACATATTTAAGACCTAAGTTGCTCCGACACGGCAATTTAGGTGCTGCACCCGTGTTAACACGACTGTAATATGAGTGTGGGTATGGGATCTATACCGGATTTGGTTAAACAATTTTGGGTACTTTGACCATGACGGATGAAAAAATTCGAGACAAGATACATTTTGATTCCCGAAATTAGAACCTAAACTAAGGTAAATTTGAAAAAGATAGCATATCTTATCTAGGAAATCAATCCTTTACTTATCTACAACATGAGAATAAAAAAGAAATCCACACTTTACAAGCTATACATAAGTATTCCACAAAATTTCTTATAATTTAGAGATATTTATTACATTTTTATTTGTTTTGAATTATATTTAGTCGGATCCCTGCACTTGTATCCGTACTAGGATCCGTATCCTCGAATCTTAGAATTTACATCTCGAAGGATCCGACCTCTAGATCCGCACTCGTGTCGTATACCCGCACTCGTGTCCGAGCAACTTAGTTTAAGACCACAAGTTCCAAAATTTTTATAACCACACAAATGTCATGGCATGCGTAAGACCACAAATTTCAAAAGTCTTTCCGTGTCTAGTCAAACAAGTTCATATAAAATTAAATGGAGGGAGTAATATTTTCAACGAGAAACTTTTGATCAACTTTCAGCGGGTTTTCTGTCGGAATATACGGATGATTGCAAATAAGGAATTTTTCAACGGTTTAACAGTCAAAAACTGTGACATTCTCCACGATTAATGTTTCAATGGTTTCGCCGTACAAAAATATGGGTTTTTGGTAATTTTAGTCCCTTTTTGACTGTTTTCCCCTCGAAAATAATGGTATGACCATAGAAAAACTGAGAAATTTACTACCTCACTGGGCATTTTTAAAATTAATGGACATACTGCAAGCTCAATGCCTCTTAGAAACACAAAAATATAGGCAATTTGCTATTAAGGAATGCTGAAATAATGTATTAAACATCAAATATATGTCTACTGAATACAATCTATCTAATATACATCGGCAACCTATCCTAAGCTGCTCCAAACTCCATTTAGATTCATCTTCAAACGAAATATTCGGAATAAGTTAGAACTTAGAAGACGAGTAAGATATCTTTTGGGAATTTCGGCAAAGGTTATCCAATAATTGGGCATAACTTCACCTATAATGTGCATTAGTTTTCCTTATTATACAATAACACATCAAAATAACGAGGTTCGTCGCAAAATTTCGGTAGAGTTCAATATATAGACTTCTTCTCCTTAAGACACAATATACAACGTATCAAACAACCTGACAACACATCGAACAACACATATCTAAATCATAAATAATTAGAAAATGAAGTTTCTAACTGAATTGTAAACTTACGTATGTCGTCTCCGCCCAGAGCTCCCCCTGGACTTCTGAAAGTGCAATAGACATTGCAAACCAAACTTCCAAGCTAAAGCCAGTAATCCCTCCATCTAAAAAGCAATATTGACAAATAAAGACATTAACTAATTTTCATCACTACAGTTTTGCATCCTTCTACTGCTATAATGAATCAGATTACATCACTGCAGTGTTGCATCTTTGAATTTCATAGACAAGTCCACATTGAATTTGTATTTCATCAGCCCACCTCAGCCATGCAACTCTACTGAGATAAACACTAAACTTTTCTATACTCAAAAGTTGATATCCAATCTGATATATATGTCTATCAGTAAAAGAAAGCTCATCTCATTGAATCTTATAGAATACTGAAACTAGAACAAGAATGCTCCAATTATAATATTGAACAACTTACTTAATATCGACAAAGCATCAGTATATCAAACATGTTATCAACATTATTCTCTTAAATGTCTGATCAAGAAAGAAGACGAAATGGAAAAAAGAAATGAATCAACAGTCAGAGGAATGGAGAGTTACTAGCTAGTTGCCGACTACAAGAGACGAGTGGTGAGTGGCGATGTTGATGGGGACAAGAGGGAAACGGTCGTTAGATTTTCTTTGCTAAATGGAGAAAATGGTAACTGATCAGGTGATATTTTAAAATATCCGACGGCCATCCATCGAAAACTCTAGCGAAAATCACTAATCAGAAGACGCACTTTCCTCTATTAGAAGTTGAGCTTTTGATGACCCTACTTCGTAAAAATTACTATATTCTGAAAATAGCCATTCTACAGCCAGCTCATTGAGATATAGAATTAATTCGACCGAAAGAAGCGCCATAAAAACCCTCGTTTGTCGAGAATTTTCAATGGACGTATTCCTTCCGAAAGAGAAGGAACTGTCCTTGAAAACTACTTCCCACATAATTGCGTGAACTATCTTTAACGGATTGCAATGACCTCTAAGTCGAGAAACTGAATATTAAAACATTAAATTTTTTAACTGTTCAACAACTTCTAGTCAATGTATCTCTAATGTCTTGACAGCTTCTTGGTCAGTCGAAAAGACCTTTGGAAATCAGCTAGTTCCTTTAAGAGTGAACGCTCGGCATACATTATCATATGATTAGCATTGCTTGACCTACAATGATACTACTCGGCCAAAGGTGGGTGTGAAGGACTACCAGCCCATCACTAAGGGTCACACAGGTCAACTATCAAACGTACAATCAAGTCAATCACAATCTGACACAGCCCAACATCTAATCAAACTTCACATTTGCTCCTTGAAAGAACCCAACTGGAGCAGGAAATCTTAGAATTCAGATCTCTCCAGTAACCAAATAAACATGTATGAGCTATCTTGCATCCAAATTTACAGCTAAAGATTACTGTGAGAACTTGGTGTAGAATTGTAGATTCACTCTAATGGTGAAGTTCTAACGGAGGAAACCTTAATTTTGGTGCAATTAGAAATAGTGGTGTTAGTCAGAGCCTACTTAATGTTTTTCTTTTTATCCTAATTAAAGTTAATGTTGAGATACTTATTTTGATGCGAGTATGTCTTTGTCATACTTGGATAATGACATCGATTATTCCTCGTGTTTCATGAGATTGCGGAGATTGAATGCTTTGATGCAGCAGCGAATTGACACCCCTTCGCTGGAAAATAACATAGTGTAGATAGGCAAACAAATTTTTTATGTATATATATACTATATGTTGAATCCCCTTGGCTTCTTCGTGTGTTTACTTCTTTATATTATAAATCCCCTAGTGAAATTTTGGCTCCATTTCTGCTTTGATATGTATCTTGTAGTGGCTATCTGATTTTGTTCCGGAAGTTGAGACCTTTGTGGCTCCAGTATGAGTATTATTATCCAATCTTCCCTGGCATCTTTATCAATGATATGCTCTGTCTTAGTTATTGACTCTATGTAACTGGAGTTTCTTTGGCCCCTAATGTAGCTACACAGTATTAGACACAAGCTAATGCGGCTAAGGAAAGAATCGGGATCAACTTGGCAAAGGCGACAAAATAATACTTGGGTGGAATCGAAATGACAGATAATCCAAAGAAGAGGGATTCTGGCAAGAGGTGCAGTATGAGGGAGTTCCAGACTTTGATTAACACTATCTTCGTCAGGGACATAAGTTAGATGAACATAAGATTTTGCTGAAACAGAAGAAAATTGAGTTCGAGCAAAATTAGCAAACAATTAGATAAAGAAGAGAAAATCGCAAAAGAAATAAAACCAGTTGTGCTGTTCAAGTTGAAAATAAAATACAGAAGGCTCGAGGAAAGAACCAAGAAAAGAACATAGATAAGGTGGTTCTGAAACTATTCCCAAGACCATCTAGCGACCAGAGAACAATCATAAGCAAATCCAGTCCACAAAGAAAAGTACGACAATCAAAATAAAAGGATAAGAATGCTAAAACTAAAAAGTAAATAAAGGATCAATTTTCCTGCTTAACGTGTCAACCAAAGGACCATCCACTCTGTAACGTAGACAGTGAATACAAAATCATCAATTAACTTTTCTTACTTCAAATATAAGACAAGAAGGTCTATCCATCTCTCATATATATATATATATATGTATATATATATAAAGGAGAGAATTCATGATTATCATTATTCATATATACACACCTATAGATGGTTAGTACTTGCCCAAGTTTATGCTGCGATCAATAGCACCAACGAACCCAATCCCCCGCAATGAGAACATGTCTTTATAAGGGATGCTTGAGATCATTATCATGAGATGTGTGCCTCATGCCAGCTGCCACAATGGAAACAACAGACTAGACAGAGTTAATGTGTTTAGAATCATCATCAATTTTGGGAAGATTAGCATGAAAGAGTGGGACAACATGAAGCAAACAGACATAATAAGGAGCAAATGGAAGAAAAAATGAAAAAGCCTAAAAAATGGTTAGGATTACATGTCCAGCGGTGTCAATACAATAATCTCTCTACATCAAGAGAAAATGGTAGGCAGTAGCGGAGCTAGGATTTTAACTAAGGGCACCAAAATTTTAAAAAGTAAATGCACAAATAAGTTAAGGGGATTCAATACATAGTAAAGATATATAAAAATTATTTTTACCTATATGTGGCTCCGCCACTACTGGTAGGGATTATAGTGCCAGCAAAATGATTAACATGCTGCCAAACGAAGAGGCAGTCTGGCGGATGTGATCGTTTCCACAAATTAAGATATATAGTTTACATAATGTTACCTTCTCAAAAAAAAGATATATAGTTTACATAAATGATAGAATCTCAGCATCGAAGCTCATGGCTTCTTCCACATGCCTGTCATAACTCCTTATTATTTCTTAAAAAATGAAATGAATCAACAGGTTGAAGAATATAGTTGGAGTAAAGGAAATATGCTTAACAGATTCGGAAATATGCTCGATAGACTGAATTGATGCAGAGAGGGACCCAAAACATTACAATACGTAAAGAAAAGATGGATCTTTAAGGAAAAGGGAGTGAAATAACTCAACAGGTTGAAAAGTGGGGCAGAGTTAGTAGTACAATGGACAGAATTGGTAGAGTGGGGCAAAACAATAGAATAGGTAAAGAGAAGACTGGTTATGAAAATGAACTTCATCAAAATTAGAATTTGATACCGTGCGAAAGAATCTAAGCATCAAACCCAAAATCTTATTGCAATGAGTGACATTATAAACCCCGTTAAAAAAATCCACATAACTGATGTGGAGACAAGTTTACTAGCAATATCTCCTCCCTGGATCACTTCACTTCCAAAGGGAATTAACTCTACAAATTAAACAGTTAAAACAGAAACCCGGCTGATGAACAATAATAGCACTAACTTACTTATTACGATCAAATCAAGGGATTCTAATTTCACTATTCAGTTCGCCGTGATCTTCTGTATCAACTCTTCTCGATGAGAACAGAAGTTCCATTATTATTGTCCAAGCCAAATCCAGCAATTGCGTTTGAATTTCCATATTGCTGCTCGAGCGGGGATGACAAATTCAGTCGTATGGTGATTAGTTTGTTAAAGTTTAAACTGATTCTCCGTTTTGGCGTTTTGGGCCTCAGCAGATTCGGAGCGGGTACGTTGAAGAGCAAATGAGCTGTTTATTTATTTACACTAAACACCCAATAATACTACTATGCAATGCAAATAAACCTTATATATTTTGAAATCAATCACTTATAGTCCTATATTATGAAAATCCTATGCAAATATGATGATGTCATCCTTTAATTTAAAAATAATAATTAAACCCTATATTCTATATCTATATCTATCTATATTATATTATATTATATTATATTAAAAGCACGAAAATCTTTAGCAAAATGTCGTTCGCTTTTTTTACCCTCCGCAAATGCACTTTATATTGGATAAAATGGTAAATACAAATAAAATACTTTTTGGAAAAATAAAATTACCTTAATAAAAGGAATAAGTAATTAAGAAGAAGGCAAGAAGTAGGAAACTCCTTTTATTAGTATCCCTAATACTCTACAAAGAGGCAGAACACTTCGTAGGTTACAAAAGGAAAAAAAAATAAGATCATAAGTAAGAAACTCATTAATTAATATCCTATTAAAGAGGTCAAAATGTTTGTGGTTCAAAAAGGAAAAAAAGAATAAGAACATTAGTTAGTAGGATTTTAACTACGCACATTTTGACCTCAAGAAATAAAAAAATCATTAAGTAGAAAAATTTTAGAGCCCATCAGTAAGACTTTAACATCAGTATGTAGAAAATTCATCATTTAATAACCCTATTAAAGAGGTTAAAGTTTTAGTAGGTTGATAACAAAAAAAAAAAGAATAAGACAATAGTTCGGACATTCATTAATATCCCTATTGAAGAGTGTAAAAAAAAAAAAAACAGTTAGTATTCTGATCTTTTATTTTTCATGAAAACATTCTTTTAGTTTTCTATCTATCTATCTATCTATATTTATATCAATATTTATATGTCTATCTATCTATATATATACTATATTAAAAGCACAAAATCCTTTAGTGAAATGTCGTTCGCCTTTTTTATCCTTTAAAAATAGATTTTATATTGGACAAAATTATAATTTTAATTATTTTCCTAATATTTAGGACTTCTAAATCAAATAAAATTTTATTTATTAAACTTTTCCTTATTTGGAGTAGGTAAGAAGTCCTAATATTTAAGTTTTTAAATGAGTAATATTATCTTTCCATGTTTAGTATTTGTGGAAGTTGTAAACATATGTAGGACGACAAAATATAATACCAACCAAACTTGTATGGTGTATAAAAGGTGCAAAGTTTAAACGTAGAATAATGGCAAAAACTTTAAAAAGTTATCCTTTTTTCCAAATCAACTAAAGTTTGTTTGTCTAATCATTACTTTGAAACATGTAAAAAAATTTAAATAGGAAGTAAAAATCAATTATTATTTTAAATATATAATATAAGTTATTTATTTATTTAGAAAAAAATTATAACAAACTGTAATATGCTAATTTTATAAAAATAATGGTTAATATACTTAAGAAAGTTATCCCCTTTTCAAAATTACTTAAAGTTTTATCTATTTCCTTATTTGAACTATGTAAAAGATCTTAATATAGGATTTTAAAATCATTTAATATATTAATTATCTAATATAAATTATTTATTTATTTAAAAAATTTAATATAATTATAATTCTTTACATATTAACTTTGAACTATATATATGAACCATAATACATCTGCATATCAAATTTGGGCTACTTTTCACCCAAATAATATTTTTTTTTACATAATTTTTGAAAACTACATTTACCAATTAGAACAAGTAACTATATATTTAAAAATATAAAAGATATAAAGAGATAGGGAGAAAGAGAGATCAGAAAGGTAGTTGGCAAGAGTCAATAATACTAATTATTCTGCAAACACAAAGATTCAAAAGTGAAATATGATCATATTAGTTTTTTTAAACCTTTTGAACATATAATTCATAGTGGATAAAATTATAACTATAGTTAGATATTTATATCATGAGTTGACCTTTAAGAATTTGAATCAATAAAAAATACATTATTTTTGTTAATATTGATAATAAATAATTAAGTCTCTAAATTATACAACTAATTAGCAAAAGAATCCTATTCAATTATTTTCTAAATTCATGAAAAATAAATTTTCAATTTGAAAAACTCTTAATTAGGGTACATAAAGTTATTTTTATAGAAAGAACATTAGTATTAAGACCAATAAAAAAAAATAAAGCAAACCCAGTTATAATATAGTATTAAGAGTCTAATTGGTAAAATGTAAACTTGAAGCAATAAATATGAAATAACAAATGACAAGATGTATTCTATTTGAGTTGTCATAAATTATTTTTTTCTTTTTTCGCATTTATTCCAACAAATAATAGGTCTCTATATTTAGTTCATAATTATTTATTATAAAATATTAACTAAACATTACTCATTTTTAGACTTTAGATTATCACGTATCAAATTTTAAGAGCTATAAGCTAAACTTTTCATTCCCGAATCTCTAAAATATTAAAAAAATAATTTTTTTAATTTATTTTATTTGTCAAATCTTCGAAGAATAACAATAAAAATATTTTTGTGTTATTTATTTTCAGTATTAAGTCAATAAAATATCAACAATTTTCATAAAATATTCCCAGAAAATTCCTCAAAATCACAATAAGTATTTGCGGACGTTAGTGGGGCATGATTATTTCCTTTATTGAGCTAGCTAAATAGGGTCGACATTCATCATTTTTAGGAACTTATATTTTTTTTTAATTTTTAATTATAACTCTAACAAATTATATGATAATATCTAAGTGATTTTTAAACTTATTTACTTATTAATATGGGTACACGCGCAAACGCAATACAATCGCGGAATTCGCCTAATAAGTAGGGAGTCCGGTTGTTTAATAACAGAAAGATGATCAATTAGTGTGTATCACTCATAATTTAACTCAACAAAATCAATTCTACAAATTTTTGTTGTTATTGTGCTGTATTTTATGTATCCGCGTGACTATATATATAAATACAGTGATGTAATCCGCCTAAAAATGGAGATTATAGCTGGTTAATTATGTATTTCATGTATTCGCGCGACTGTATTTATAAATACAGTGAAGTAATCTGTCTTAAAATAGGGATTACAGTTGTTTAATAACGGAAAGCGCAATATTGAATTGTATTCAATTTCACTATATTGAATTCAGTTGTACTCAAATAACAAAAAATCAAAAAATAAGGTGTATATTGTTCTATTTAATTCGACTGTATATATTGTATTCAATTCACCGATATTTATTATTCAATATTCTACACTGTATTCAATTCACCGTATTCAATTCAACTATATTTATTTACCCGTAAAATGGTACAGTTGAATTTATACGTAGTTTCTAGACAAGTAAACTAATTTGATCATGAAATAATACACTAATTGAAGAAATGTACAATACTTAGCCTTGAAATGTAGATGAAACAACATAGACGACTGTTCCGGGAACAGGTTTTCTGGGCACAACAATGATGAGATCAAAAAGCAAGAAAGTAAGATTATATTAAGCTTTGTATAGAATGTAGTATAAGTTTAGCCAGAAAATTCGTCCCCTTTACAATGATAACTGAGCTCACTATTTCTAGCTATGTCTAGGGAAAGAGGTCCTAGGATCATTTTCTCCTTTAATGTCAATTATGAGGGTCATTGATGAAGACGTAACAGTGAACATAAATGTCAAATTCTCTTTAATGGACCGCCGCTCTTAATGTTGCAGAATATTTCCTATTAAATGCTATCGGGCGCAGAGCATTTAACACACACCTTTATGAACGTTATCCTTTTCGGTGACAAGCGGAATGGCTGCGTTCCAGTGTCATATCATATTTCACCATATACAAATAGTCCCCCTGCTTTCCGGTGACATAACTTTGTGTTACCGGAAAGTTGGCAGAAATATCTTTTTGGCGAAAATTACTATAACTCCCTATGAAGGTTTTTGATAGTTGATTAGACGCACGTTTCTCCGCATTTAATGCCCCGAACAAGCGTCATCCCATGATTCAACACAACTTTTGCCGATTATCGAGGTAATCATGGCCATGAATTTAGCCGCCAAAATTTTACTTATACGCAACATTCTTTTCCTTTGCGTTTCATAATTTCTCAAGCTTCTGATTTGCATATATGTTTTCCATCCTTTCTAATTCTATTCAAACACAAAACCTTTTCCTTCTTCTTTTTCAATGGTTTCTTCCTCCAAGTGTGCTGGTTCTACAAAGAACACGAACAAAACCGAGGACCCTGTTCCTCCAACCGTGGGTTCCATCATCCCAAGAAGACTTAGTACCACAAAGGACTTTGAAGAGAAATTCCCTATTGCTAACCCTCGTACATGGGTTGTTAATAGATACTCTTGTTCCATCCGTCCTTCTATTATTCCTGCTTTGAAAGAGTACTGCCGCTGCCATGAGTTGGATATCATTGCTCCTTATCTATCGGAGCGAGTGACCCTTCCTAAGGAAGGTTTTACATATTTTTTCACGTATCCCTTTACTTTGGGTGCATTTTCTTTCAGCGGCGAGCTTGATTCCGTGATTGCGGAGTTTTACCTTCGCTACCAGGTGTGTTTGGTACA